AGCTATGCCTATTTCCTTTGTTGAAGGAGCCTTTCAAGAGTTATGATGTTTTTAGTGGTTTTACAATGGAGACGGTTCCCCTGGGAGAATATAGAGTATAATAGGTATTCTTGAGAACAAAGGAATTAAGTAAATGAGTACACAGAAAAGCCCAAATGTACCTGGAAACAGAAAATAGTTTGCTTTGGTCAAAACATATCGTTCACATAGGAAAGAGGATGAGATAAGGCAGGAAAAATAATATGAGAAAAATATGTTGGGTAACATTGAGTACTACGCTAGGAAATTTTAACTCATCTCTAATGTCCTTTGAAAACTTGTATCAAAAAGTGTTAAGCAATAGGAATAAAAGTTTTTTTCAGGAAGATGACTGTCAGGATTAAGTGAAGAATAAGTGAGGTTGTAACAAGATGACACAATCAGAAGCAATTTCAATAATCCAGAATAGCAGCAATATTTAAAACTCCTTTAGGCAGATGTCAAACTTGGAAAGCACTAGAATGCAGATGTAATTATTTTACTTACAGTTAGGAACATTGGAGTGAAACATTAAAAAAAAACTTGCTCTGTTAAGTACTAGAACTAAAAAGGAAAAAATACACCAATCTTGATTAAAGGACTGCTCTAAGTATGACAAATGAGAACCAACATTTATCTAACAAAATAAGCGTATACATAAATAATATAAATGGTATTGGAGATTGTAAAAACCGTGGATATTAATAAATTATGAGGCTTAGAAAAGATGGAAAGAATAAAGAGATATAATAACCATAAACTCCTGAAACAATATATAAATTCTGATGAAAAGAGACAGAATACTTTCACCTCACAAAATTCACTTAATATAAATTACTCCTCTTCAAATATCCCCAAGCCTATCATTGTGTTTCCTTAAGAAAAATATATGAATTACTTGCTTATATTCCTTGCTTCCTAAAAACAACCAACCCTTTAAAGTTTTTCTTCCATTAGTAAATTTTTGAATCCTGGGTCCCAAAAGAGACCAAGAGTTTTCTTAACAGAAATCTAAGAAAATTGAGTTTCCTGAATCTGAACAAAGGATTTTAAAACTTAGTGTTACTAATACGATTTGCTTTATTGACACTTAGATTTTTATCTGTATTTTAAAATGTGGAAAAACATTTTAAGGAAACCAAATTTATGGTCACACTAAATATTCAGACGTTTCCTACGAATGTCTTCAGCAAGCATGAGGATATGTCCTTTAACAAAAATAAAGGAAAAACTTCAGAGGTTGAAATAAAACTTTGTATCTTATAAAAAGTTGATTTTTGTAATTCGTACTTACTATTTGGGCCACATGATGTCGCTCTTTACCGCGAAATTCCCTCATATTCGAGACAAAAATAAGTCATCCGTTTCACATTGGAACGACTCTCCACGCTGTTGCACTATCCGGAAGTTGAACAATGGAGAGCAAATCGGGATAGTAAAGAAGGGATAAGAAGATTCCTATAAATTTTGAGACGCCACTCTGCTTAGAGTTAAGAAAAAAACCAATTTGAAATGGTGGACTCCAATCGAGGTGACCAAAGGGACCGGCATCTACTGCTGTTGTTTATAATTCTCACAGCCTGGGAGGCTGGGAACGGCCAGGTCCATTACTCGGTCCCCGAGGAGGCCAAACACGGCACCTTCGTGGGCCGCATCGCGCAGGACCTGGGGCTGGAGCTGGCGGAGCTGGT